GTACTATAATTAAGAACACTTAGCAGCTCCTTACTCAAACTGCTCAATGGAGTTAGTCTCTCCCCTCATTGGCAGTTTGTCGCGTGATGGTCGTAGTTCTTCCATGTTTCCCGGAGCATTCCTGACAAAAAGACGGGTCGCTTCCTCATCGACTGTTAGTGGTGTTTCAACAACGCCAATCCCTGAAAATAATTACAGTTCGTTTATGCGCATGCAGGCGAAGCTGGCGTGCTGGCGTGAAGCGTCGTTCCCACATGCACCGGCTACACGGTGGCATGAATATGACGGCAAAGCAATTGTGGCCCAGTTTGAAACAGAAACGTCGGAACGGGGTATCAAGTGCAGCAACACGCCCACAGCTTTTCAAACACCTGCTAACCTTTCTTTTTCGAAATGACCGTCTATGAACTTGACAATCTTCTTCACATCTACCCTACCTACCATTGCCCGCATGGCATTCTTCAAAACGTCATCTCATACCTGAGGAAACTTCAATATCACTACGACAGTATTTCTCTAATTCAAATTGAAGGCTTTGGCTGGCCAATCTTTGTGCAGCCCAAAGTCGGGCAAAGGTCTCTGCAGCAGACTTTCATGAGACCTGACATACCGCCCTGCTAGTGATTCCGATCGTTATAAATAGTAGAGTCGATGGAAGCTTTCTCAAAAATGCTATCCTGGGTAGCAATTGGCTTGAGATTTTACTCTACACAGGTGAAAACCAACTGAGAGGAAGAAGTCGCAGTTACTCAGACTCAGGTCACCGTTGAGCTAAGATTTTATGATCAATTTAAATTTTTCCTGCTCCGCGAGACTCTTTGGTAGCTATATATGCGTATATTATTAAGTCTTCTCGAACGGAAGTATGACCGTCTATGGATTATTTCGAATGTTTTCTCGTTGGTGCACACGTTGGCCCGTTCGCAGCCCTCGCGCCAAGTTCCGAAAATATTAACTCTGCTCTTCTACTTCCTACTCTTACTTACTTATTACTTCTCTAGTCTTCCCTCCTATCCCTTTATTTTTTCTTATATTTTTTACTTTTGTTAATTCCTATTTTTATTCATTTAATGTTTTTTCTGCTCTAGTACAGATGGTATTGGTGTGGCAGCACATGGCGCCAGGATCAAATCTCAGATCGAGGCCAGCAAGGCCTTCCAACTTTTCGGGCTCAGCCCACTGACAATTACCTTGTCGGTACAATAAAAACTTTGAATTGTAAATACATAGACGGGCTCCTGGAATTCATTTCATATGCAGGCCAAGCCGCATCCAAATACCACCACAATTTTGAATGGAAGTAGGAAGTGTGACGTATTCGGTAGAGGCCTGATCGACGCCGAATGTCTTATATTTTACCAGTTGCCGCCGCACACGTTGCGCGCACAACAGTTCTGCAGCGATAGGAATTAGGCCAGATCTCTCCACGTTTTCCTTCGGCCTCTGCACTGTCCCTGAGCGATTTACATGCTTGGCGGCAAACCGCGTCCATTTTGGTGCTGCTCGGCCCACGATTGGAGTTCAATTCCTCACCCTTGCCGGTCTCTATCACTTTTCCGAGACCACTTGGAACCGAGTTGTAAGTCTGGCAACAAACTCAGCCCACTTTGGTGCAAACCCCGCCCACCAAAGATAGTCGACCTCCTTCCCTTAGCCACCTCTTTCTGCTTGTTTTCCGGTTTCCATGACTTCTTGGAACCGAATTACGAAAGTTTTGTGGCAAACTCCGCCCACTTTAGTGCATGCCCACCCACCAATGGCAGTTGACTTCCCTTTCGTTGTCAGACTCGATCCACTTTTTCCCGGTCTCCAGGACTTCTTGGAACCGAGTTATAATGTTTCGTGGATAACTCCGCCCACATTGGTGCACGCTCCAATCACCTATAGATGTAGACCTATGTGAACCTCTCTCTAGTAGTTGAACTCTATAGGCTTTTTTCCCGGTCCCTGGGACTTCTTGGAACCGTATTATAGGTCTGGTAGCAAACTCCACCCACTTTTGTGCGCGCTACGCTCAACACTGACATTTAGTCTCCCCTCCTTCTCTGACTTCTACCCTCCTTTTTCCCGCTCTCCAAGACCACTTCAGGTTCCACTTCAGGGCACGTTCCGCCCGTTGTTGGCGGGCCTCCGCTCACATCATGTATGCTGGAAATACCTTAGACATTGCTCCCCTGCACCAATTTTTTTCTGCTCTGTAGGCTTTCTCCCAACCGAGTTATGATTTTTCATAAAGCACTGCTTTTTTAGAGAACGCCCCGCCCACCGAGGTGACTTTCCCCAATGCACACCTTTACCCACTTTTTGGCCCAGTTTCGAGGTTGTTTTGTCACTGAAATTGAAATCTTGGTCTCGGTACAGTTCATTTCGATGCACGCCACGCCCACTGTGGGCGGGGCTCCGCTTAGCTGATGTGTGTTTTGTACTTCGCGAGACCTTGCCCACCCATCCCACACTTGACCCGGTCTCTCCAGGCGGATCCCGAGGAGCTAGGGAATTTCGTGACAGACATACAGAACGACAGACGACAGACGAAACGCTTTATAGTAAGTAGGATGCTTTACCTCAGTACAAGCTGAAAATGTACATCTTTACAAGACACCATACCTCCTGAGCTAAGCCGTGGTGGCTGTAGCATTCTCGGCAGAAACACGGTTGATGGCATTGCAGGCGGAGGTGGCACTACTGGCGGCACTGGTGGAGGTGCTGGTGGTGGTATGTCACGCATTGAAAAACTTGCTGAAATACTTATTATAACATATTATACCTATTATACAGTAAAGCCTGATATTTCCTCTCATTGAGACATGAGCCGTGTTGGGGTTGAGCGATCTTGCGTCCGCCCAGAATTACCCTGTCCACATTTTCCTTGCAATTTTTGTCTTTGAAATTTTCATCGTCGCTCCTGGTTTATTTCACCTTCAAATTGAAAAGCATTGACTTACTTGCCTTATTAGGCATCAACGATTTCGAATAATATGTGTCTGAGAACTTCCCGCTTGTGGGTAAAATACTGCTTAATTTGAGTTTATTTCAAATCGATGTTTCCGATTTATAACTGATTTGGTTTCTGACTAATTATTGTAGCGCACCTACGAGTGCATAGTAATAAATAATAAATAATAAATAAATAAATAAATAAGTAAATAAATAATAAATAAATAAGTAAATAAGTAAATAAATGAAAATGAATAAATGTAAAAATAAATGAAAAAAATAAAATAAAATACAGACCGTTTGACAGGTGGGTTACTAGAAAGGGCGGGCCCCATTGGACATTACGTTAAAGATGGGCAGTTATTGATACACTAAGAAAAAACCGAGAAGAATGGAGCACAACCTGAGAAATGGGGCTCCTTCCTTGTCCGCTGTCCACACTGATGTGACTTATCGATGCTGCCCTCGGCAATACTGACGCTCTCTCCGCTAAACCGGTAGAGACTTACACGAGATGACGAGAGAGAGGGGGGAGGGACCGCGTCAATGCGCGCGACATTGCGCAGCGAGGCCATACTAAATCGCCGGGACACATCCGACGATGCGAATGGCATGCTGGTTCACACAGCTAGGAGGTCCGCATGTCTCTGTACTAGGTATGTTTTCCCTTCTTTGGCTTCACCCTTATCGTACAATCCTCTTCTGAGTTGAGCCGATGAAAGATGAAGAAAAAGGTGAAATCATCAGATCGGTGACAAAAAAAAGAGAAACGGTCGAAACCCGAAAAACAGGACCATCCCTTTGCCAGTTCATTTCAGGGGGGGGGAGTTTGCCGTTAGCATATGGGTCATTCAGGAAGATCTAAGCAATGGCATCATGCCAGCGGCGATCGAGGCAGTTGCTGCTTCAATAGACGCAGCAGCAGTCATCGTTTCAAACATTGTCATCCCTACCACGTGCAGCGGTGGGCGTACCCACCATGAAATTCTTTCAGGACATGGAGCACTTTTTCAAAACTTTTTTCATGTTGCAGGGTACACGCAAGGAGCTTAGACTAAGGATCATTTTTTCTGATCCCTAGTTTGGCTTCGAAAATGTAAAAAAAAAACATTCGGGAACTATGGCTTGTGTTTCGCTCCCTACTGAATGTAATTTTTTGCTTCTCTCTGCTTTCCACTTTCCTTTTGAATAGAAAAGCTTCTGGTATACTACTATTCAATTCAAAAAATGGTGTACAGTGTACTAAAAATGTAGAAGTTTTACTTCTTAGAAGAAGTTTCCTGTCCTTTTTCTGGCAATTCCAGGGCGCTGAGGAAAAATTAGCATTATTAGTTCTATGCTTCACACCGTGTCCTAACATGCGAAAACCGGGGATGTCATCCAGTAAGGGGTGGGGCATGTTGTGTGAAAGTTCTCGCCTGCTAGCACAGACGATTAGAGAACGGTTGAATGCCCTAGGACTAAACCTTGGATAGGACTAAACCTTGGAGAGGAGAAGGACCCGGCAGAGAGCGCAGAAAGGGCTGTGTTCAAGTAGTCCACCGACCATGCTTGAGGTAACTTCGGTGCCGCGTTCGCCGTTGGTAGCGCGCCTTTTCTCGCAAAGGCGCTACTTATTGTTAACTTAGACACTCCCTTTCCACTGTCGCCTAATGATTTGAGAACCGCCCGATTCTTCATCAATGATCGCAGGTTGAAACAATCCTTTTGAGATGCGCCACGCACTCCTCTTCCATTCAGACGTTTGAATACGATACGGCTCATATGCCATACAATAAATCGCAGAGGCTAGCGAATGTGAACGTCAACGTTTTCACACACACAAGCGAGTTCGGTATCAATCCAATGATCATGGAAGGAGAGGGGAGGGAACTTGGTTGACTTGGTCGAGTGGATTCTGCGTCACCTATCCCCCCAGTCCTACCGAACATGCGTGGCATCTCCACCTGTTACACACTTCTTTCTCATGATAGGCGACTAAGGCTGAATTGTCTCAAGTATTCATATGAGTTCATTTCGTGTCATTAGTCTCTAAACGGAATACTCTCGGCCTGCCTATGATATGAAGAGAGAGTTTTGATCGGGAGAATCTAATGCAACGCTGGTGAATGCTCGCAATCACAAGCCGTACAATTGCAAATTAATGGATTTTTTAGCGAGGACGCGCAATATCGCAGTTTGCTTTGCTTTTTAGAATATTCGATTAACGTCGAAGAAATGCTGTAGAGCGGGGAGCAGCGACGTTCCTGCATTTATGTAACAGAACGTATAAAAGCATCAGGCTGGCCCGATCAGTTCAGTGCGATCAGCCATGTTGCTTTTTCTCGTGGTGAGTACGATTCGTTGCTGATTTGCTGTACGTAGGCTCAGGCTGCGGGCAGAGCAATCGTTCAAGGTCGGGCCATAATTTGCAGCTTGGTTTGGAGTTCAAAATGTAGGGTAGATCCTCTTCGACCATGCGATTCTCCGTGTTTTTTTTCATACCATCCACTCTACGAAAAAAAAGGAAGATCGCAAAATCGCAAAATCGCATGGCTGCAATGCATTCAGAATGACACATTGTCTCAACAATG